GCTTCGAGTCGAACTAAACTGGACCTTTGATTTATATAAAAATTTGCGATTACTAACTGAGTGTGTGCTCTCTGTGAAACACGTTTAACTGATAAAAAGATCACATGAATATAAACTAGTCTATGTTAGCTATAGCCAATCGTTTCAAATTGAGAAGGTCAATATAAGGTATATATAACTAGGATTTTGTGTGATACTTGTATAATTTCACTTTCGTTGGTTGGTTTTATGTCAATGAAATTGACAAACGCCCACAGTTTAAAAATATTGGATGATGATTTAGGAAATAGACTTGCAAATTATTCACCTAATCTTATCCTTTGATATCCCAAAGTTTAAGTTGAAATTTCTTTGGAGTTTTAAGAGTCTTTTTATTTTTTTTGGGCGAAATTTCTTTTCATGTAATTTATTAATAATTTAATATGCGATTGTGACATTGAGATATATATGTTGCGATGATAATAATGGAATTGACTAGTGGCGGATTATTTTTATTACAAGAATATTATCAGGTAATTGCAATTTTTTCAAGATTAATAAAATAAGATTGTTATTTGGGTAGTAGTAATCTAATTAATTTTTTTTGAGTTAATCAAATAAAATCATTTTAAGTATAATTTAATTTTGTTCGCGAATATGGATTTGTATAATCTATAGGATTTTTTTTTAAAAAAATAAAATAAAATATAAATACAGTATGTATTGAATATTTAGATTGCGTACAAGTTGATGTTTATACAAATGTAACCAGTAAGTTGGAAAGTTCTCATTTCGACAATTTTAAGTAAATTAAAATTATTGCTTTCTTACGTGGGAGGTTGTGGGATTGAGCTTCAGTTGAGGCGGATTATTCGGCTCTTTGTGCTTCAGTAGGTTGAGAAAGTAGTTATGAATAGATATTACATTGTGACAGAGTCAATTGAGGTGGATTAATTGCCTTTTTGTGCTTCAGTAGGTTGAGAAAATAGTTATGAATAGATACTACATTGTGACGGAGTCAATTGAGGCGGATTATTTAGCTTTTTGTGCTTCAGTAGGTTGAGAAAATAGTTATTAACAGATACTACATTGTGACAAAGTCAGTAGCGCAGCACTAAAAAAAAAAAAAAAAAATTGAATCCCGACACCCGACAATACTATTTATATTGGAGGTGTAGAAAACATCATGAACCTAACAAACACTGTTTATATTGGAGGTGTAGAAAACATCATGCATGATGGTAAGTAATTGATGAATTTGTCACGGCGTTCCCTGGTTGGGCACTTAGTCGGTCATGACACGTGGTTATAAGTAATGTGATGATTGAAAATGTTACAAAAAAATTGACATTTTTCATACATTGCGCATGACCTTCATGACTAGATTCTCGACTTCTATGACCAGGAAAAGTCCAATGCAAAAGCACATGACACCTTAATTATCGGTTCAATAGAGTTACTTTATAACCCATTATATTATTTAATTAATATTATTATTACAGTTTACATATTTTAAATTATATTAAAATTAGTATTCAATTCAATATTTTAAAAAAAAAAAGAATAAAATCAACTATCGAAAAATTCATTATTACTAGTCAACAAAAGTAGTTCAATATTAGTGAATTCATAAATTTTTCGACACTTGTCTGAGGTGGTCATAATTTTTAACTATCGATTAATTAAAGATGATCGAAAAAGTTGAAATTACCATGCACAACGCATGACCTTCGTGACTAGATTCTCAACCTCGATGAATAAGAAGAATCCAAAGGCACATGACACGTTAATTATCAGTTCAACAGTTCAATAGATGTACTTTCTAGCACATTAATAAAATTAGTATTAAATTCAATATTAAAAAAAAAAAGACAATAAAATCTACTACCGAAAAAGTCATTATTACTAGTCAAAAAAAGTAGTTCAATATTAGTGAATTTTTAATTTTTTCGACACTTGTCTTAGGTTGTCATAATTTTTAACTATCGATTAATTAAAGATGATCGAAAAAATTGAAATTACCATGCACAACGCATGACCTTCGTGACTAGATTCTCAACCTCGATGAATATGAAGAATCCAAAGGCACATGACACGTTAATTATCAGTTCAATAGATGTACTTTCTAGCACATTAATAAAATTAGTATTCAATTCAATATTTTGAAAAAAAAAAAAAAAAGACAATAAAATCTACTACCAAAAAACTCATTATTACTAGTCAACAAAAGTAGTTCAATATTAGTGAATTTTTAATTTTTTTGACACTTGTCTGAGGTTGTCATAATTTTTAACTATCGATTAATTAAAGATGATCGAAAAAATTGAAATTACCATGCACAATGCATGACCTCCGTGACTAGATTCTCAACCTCGATGAATATGAAGAATCCAAAGGCACATGACACGTTAATTATCAGTTCAATAGATGTACTTTCTAGCACATTAATATTATTAAATATAATTTACATATTTTAAAATTAGGGTTTAATTCAATATATATAATAAAATTTATTACAAAAAAAACTCATTATTACTAGTCAACAAAAATTGGTTGGATATTAGCGAATTCTATAACTTTTTCAACATTTGTCGAGGTTGTCATAATTTTTCACCATTCATCAATTAAAGATGATTAAAAAAAAAGTAGAAAACGTTAGAAAAATCTTAATTTTAATTTCAACCACTTTTTTTTTTTTAATGATTAGACAATTTTGATGATTAATCTAAAATTAAAAAATTCTAATTCTCCTATATATGGAAGAAAGACAAAAAGAAATAAGAAATGAGAAGAAAAAACAAAGAAATAAAGGACCTTTCAAAAAAAAAAAAAAAAAAAAAAAAAAAAAAAAAAGGAGGAGGTAGAGGCCAATGATTTTATCCAGAAACTTCCTTTTTTATTTTTAGTTCTTAATTTTGCCCGACAGTAGAAACTAGAAAGTAGAAACCCTTCTAGTTTCTATGAGGGTTTCTAATTTCTTGCCATCTGAGGTTTTGTCTTTTAACATAAACAAATTTGCCATAATTGGCAGAAAATCTTTCAACAAATATATATATATATATTTTAAATTGATTTCTGAACATAAATGTTCAAAAATTAAGGAAACAAGTTTGACATTAAATTAATCAAGTTTTTTAATGAGTGATCGATAATAGAAGGAAATTTTTAAGATTTTCAAACTAAGAACTCTAAGTAATTGTGAGTTTTATAGCAAATTAGTAACGATGCATTTTTATCATTTAATTATTTTTTATTTTGAAAATTGGTTCCTCAATTCCTAAGTCAACAAATGTAATCCACTAAGTTTTATTTAAGTTGTCAATTTATTCTTCTCCCAAAGTTGTGAATTTATTGTCCCATCGAATGGAACTACCCAACAGCTGCTGACTAATTTGATAACATGAACAAAAATTAAGGGATCCATTCCTTGTTCCATACAAGTTGAATCTCCAATTCCGATGACCTCTCAGATAAAAGGCTAAACATTTATTTACTGCACACAAAAAATTAATGTTGCTTGACATTTGCTTACTGCACACAAGAAGTTGAGTTGCTCTTACACTGTCGCTAGTGAAACTCGATCCCGAGTCATTATTTTCAAACTTTATCCATGTGACCAACTGAGCTGTCCATACAGAGAAATGGTCAATTTCTTCACTTGCAAATTGAATAGCTATATTTCAAAATAAAAAATAGTTGAAACATCAAAAGCGTAATTTTTTCTTAAAAAACAAATTAAAATTTTAGGAGAAATTTTAAAACAATTAAATGAAAAGAATTAATGTTATAATCAAATAATAAATATCTGTAAAATATGGCATAAAGAATACATTACATAGATACACGACTACCACGTCGTTGTGCACAAGTGATAGAGGACATATATTTATTGAAATTGACGTCTCAGTCGTTGATTGGTTTCGGAATTTTCCATATTAACCCCTAACTTCATTAAACATTAATTAATAATTAATTCTTTTATTTTGTGACGAGAAAATCTACAACTATGATCACTGTCACACAAAAGAGGTAAATCATATTAAGAATATGTATGCAACGGGCTCAATCAAAAAAATATTAACAATAGTTAAACTTATGATCTTCAAATATGATAACACCCTTATTAATTAATTCGTTTATTTGTATCCTTCGTTAATTTGTTTGACGCAATATTTCGAATACATGACAAAAAGCATCTTTCATTCCACTTTAGGGTGCATTTACTTTTTTTTTTTTTTTTAATTGTTTAGAATAATTGAAATGGCAAAATTGAAGAAAGGAAAAATATAAACTAGACTAATTTTGTTTATGTGTTTTAAGGTAATTGCATTATTATCAAGTCTCTGATTAAAGACTTATAGTTCTCTAATTTTCAACAATAAATAATGAAAAATAGAAATTTGATAAAATAGAAAACTACTAAAGAAAAACTGAAGAATTTAAGTAAATACAACCTTAATTTGTTAGAACAGATCATCTAAATATTCCTAAAATTTGTCAAAATAACTTGCAACTCTATAATTCTAAATTCCTAAGATTTATCAAAATAACTTGCAACTTTATAATTTTAAAGATTAATTTATATTAACTTAATAGTCTGAGATAGTTGGTAAGTGAATAGTTAATTAATACCATTATAACCTAGTAATTTAACATTTTCAACAATCTAATATTTTCTAAGATAATATAACATGCTGTGAATCAAAGGCTCCTAAAAATAAAATTAATTTAAATTGTTCATTATTAACTGACTTAAATAAAAATAAGTAATAAACAATTCTCGAAACTTAGAAGTTTGTAATTATTAATCTCTGATTCTATGTAATATTGTTATCATGAAATTTAATTTATGAGGGAGGCCAATTATGTTAATACAGGGAAGAACTCGGAAAATACAGCTTTGAAAATGGAAAATTAGGGGTTTGAGGTGGAGATGGAGCCCACTGTGAATGCGGAAACGAGCTGGCAACTATAGACAGACTGTTTCCACCCCTCCCTCCACACCTTAAAACCCCTCTCTCTATACTCTCATACAAACCCACTCTTCTTCTTCGCAGAGTTTTATTAATTTCTCTTCGAATTTATCGTTTTCCTTTTGGGTATTCGATACTTGGTATATATGGCGGAAGAAACTAAGGCACCCGCTCAAGAGACGCCGGCACAAGAAGTGGCGCCGGCGACGGCGCCGGTGCCGGAGGCCGCAGCTGAGGTTGTGGAGAAGGAGGCGACGCCGGAGCCGGAGCCTGAGAAGACGGCTGAGGAGGAGAAGGAGAAGGCTGCGGTTACGGAGTCGGGTTCGTTTAAGGAGGAGAGCAACAAGGTGGAGGAGCTTCCCAACCCGGAGAAGAAGGCGTTGGATGAGTTTAAGGCGTTGGTTCAGGAGGCTTTGAACAACCACGACTTTACCGCTAAGCCTAAGGAGGAGGAGAAGAAACCCGCCGCCGCCGCCGCTCCGGTTGCGGAAGAGCAACCCAAGCCGGAGGAGGATAAGAAAGAATCCGAGGCTGCGCCGGAGCCGACCAAGGAAGCGCCTGTGTCGGAAGAGAAGAAAGACGCGGAAGCGCCGCCCAAGGCGGAGGAGGAGAAAAAGGAGGAGGTGAAAGAAACAGAGAAAGAGATTCCACCGCCACCCACGGAGGCGCCGTCCGCCGAGCCTTCGGTGGTTGTCGAGAAACTCGAAGAAAAGGCCGCAACTCCGGCCGAGGTAATCAAGGAGACCATCGTCGAGGTGGCCGCAACGGAGGAACCCTCCACCGTCGAGCCCAAGGAAGAACCAAAGACCGAAGAAGTCGCCCCTCCGCCGCCGCCGCCGGTTCCAGAAGAGGTCTCCATCTGGGGAATCCCTCTCCTCGCCGACGAACGCAGCGACGTAATCCTCCTCAAATTTCTCCGGGCTCGCGATTTCAAGGTAAAGGACGCCTTCGCCATGCTCAAAAGCGTCGTCGCATGGCGCAAGCAATTCAAATCCGACGACCTCCTAGAAGAATCCGAGCTGGGACACGGCCTAGACAAGGTTGTCTACATGCACGGCGTCGACAAAGAAGGCCACCCAATCTGCTACAATGCCTTCGCAGAGTTTCAGGACAAAGAATTGTACCAAAGCACCTTCGCTGACAAGGAAAAGCTCAACAATTTCCTGCGATGGAGGATTCAATTCATGGAGAAATCCATCAGGAATCTTGATTTCACCCCTGAAGGAATCAACACCTTTGTTCAGGTCATTGATCTCAAGAACTCTCCCGGACTTTTCTTCTTCAAGAAAGAGTTCCGACAGGCCACCAACCGGGCCCTCCAGCTCCTCCAAGACAATTATCCTGAATTTGTTGCCAAACAGGTATATTCGCATGATCCATCCTCTAAAGTTTCAATCTTTTGTTGTTTCCCCTATTACCCATCTTCAGTTTTTCTGGAAATTTGAATCTTGAATTTCACTTGTCTTGTTTCTAATCTTGTCCTTTTGCACTAGATTTTGGTCTTAATTAACGTTGATTGGTTTTACTGGAAATAGAGTTGTCTGTATTTAATTCATAGATACTATTAAGGTAAACATAATAGTTGATTCCTAGATGGTGTTTTAATTGTATGGTTTAATGTTAATTGAGGTTGGTTGTTGGTGTTAAGGTATTCATTAATGTTCCTTGGTGGTATCCGGCCTATTATAAGATGATCAATGCACTTTTCACCACAAGGACAAAGAGCAAGTTTGTCTTTGCAGGCCCTTCCAAATGCGCCGAGACACTCTTCAAGTTAGTGCACTCTTTCGTTGATTGATATGATTCTTTCGATTCGGTTATATTGTTTCTTAACAATGGTGAAAAACCAGGTATATCGCCCCGGAGCAAGTACCTGTTCAGTATGGCGGGCTTAGCAGAGAGGGCGATTATGAGTTCACCACTGGTGACCCTGCAACCGAGGACACTATCAAGCCAACTTCCAAGCACACTATTGAGTTCCCGGTTACTGAGGTAAGCATTAAGTGACACTGTCAGTCGATTTCGCATTAATGTGCAATCCAACTATCAGCTTAGCTTAGGCTTTTAGTTGAGATGGAACTAGACAAAGGTCATGGGTTCAGATCTCTACGTCACCCGATAAGCGACTACGGTCCACGTGTTCGATGGAGCACATGCTTCAATTGCCTGCCTGCACATTATGTGATTTTAATGCGAGTCGTTGGGTTTTTTCAGAAGTGCACATTGGTTTGGGAGGCGAGGGTGATAGGTTGGGACGTGGCCTATGGGTCCGAGTTCGTGCCTGCTGCTGAAGGCGCGTACACGATCATCGTAGAGAAATCGCGGAAAATTGGACCGGCTGATGAGACGATAATCAGCAACAGCTACAAAACAGATTGTGCAGGAAAGGTGGTGCTCACATTTGACAACCAAACTTCCAAGAGGAAGAAGCTTCTCTATAGGTCCAAGACCAAGGGCTCTGATTGAAGAAAGGGACAATTTCTTGTGGCTCTTCAAGCTCAATCACAGTACAACTGGACTGCACAATAATTTGTTCATTTATAGATTTTTACCCCCCTGTTTCATATTAAATTTAGTGGTTAAGAGTTTGGGATATTTATTTAATATTTGTTGGGATTTTTTTTGTGAACAATTGTTGGTGTTTTGACTGTTTGTGTGGTCTTTTGATATAATGGGAAAAAGCAAGGAGAATGGCTGGGTGAAAGGAGAACATCAGTGACAGTGTATACAGGGTTGTGTTAATGTGGACAGAACTTTTTGATATTTTAGTTCATACTTTTTTTTCTGGGAAATTCTTGTGTACAGCTTATGTTGTTTTTGTTGTTCTTGCTTTTTGTGCATTGATTGATGGTTAATTAATGCTTCCTTAACAACACCATTCCTGTCTTCCAGCTTTTTGTTTTTTATTGTTCCCAAATAAGGTTGAATTCCCAGCCTTGAGGCCTCTCGCCCTGGCCCGACAGAGCATCAGTTCGGACATTAGGGTATCTGGGAGGGAGGATGTAAATTATGGTGAGCCTTTCATCTTGAAATGCTGATTCCACACAGTCGTTGGTGAGACTCGATTTCAGGTCATTGTTATCAAATTTTGCCTCTATGACCAACTTAGTTGCCTATACGTGTAACTTAGTTGATACTCTCCTTGCAATCAAAAGGCTTGAGACTCGATTTTGGGTCATTGTTCTCAAATTTCACCTCTGTGACCAACTGAGCTGCCCATGCGTGTAACTTAGTTAATACTCTCCTTGCAATCAAAAGGCATGGTCGAGTCACAAAATTAACTTCCCTTAGGAAGCGTTTGGTTCACGGAATGTTAGATTAAATGTTAGATTGCTGAGAAAACTGTAACAAGACAAATTGATTAAAATGTCAAAAGACCAAAATTAGTAATAAGACAAAAAATGTGAAATTACTGAGAAAATTACATAACTTGAACCAAATATAGAAATCTTATATTTCCAAGTAAATATAACCTTAATTATCTTATATAACTTGAACCAAACACCCCTTAAGGTATACATTAACATTATGGATTTTTTCATAAATTAAAGTATAAATCACTACACAATACTAAAGGAAAGATGAAGCTTCATTGATGCAAGGGACAATACTAAAGTATATTTTACTGTAAACAAAAAACCAAATCTGAATTTTTCCAATAAAATATAGGAAATAAATATTGCAGGTGTAACTTTCACCTCCAAAGTAGTTATCTTAATGAAAGAGATATCTTAAATTAAGAAAAGAATCTGAATTTTGTTGAAATATAAAGTAGGTTATTAAGGTTACTTGTTCCAAATGATGTGTCTTCATTAAATTAATTTGTAACTGGCCATCCGTTAATTTACAATAACCAGTAAATACGAAGGGTAAAGGGTTGAGGCATTTTAAAGTCATATAAGTTGATATAAATAGAACAAAAATAGGGATAGAGGTTAAATAAGCTCGTAAACTATTCAGAAAAGTTTAATTATATTCTTAAACTAAAAAAATAATCTCTAATTAGATACTAAACTTAGAAAAAAAATGCAATTAGTCTATTTTGACATCTTATTGTAGGTAAACTCCAAATTAAAGTTTAGTGTGATGCCATATCATTATATTTTGCTATCTTAGATGTCTAATAATAATAATAATAATAATTATTATTATTATTAAATATTTATTTTTATTATTATAAATAATTAAAGTATTTTTTATTATTATAAATAATTAAAATATTTTTTAAAAAAGATAAAATAGCTTAGCCGCAATGGTAGTGAGCTGCCATTGCGATGAAATTATTTTAAAATTTTCCAAAAAAAAATATTTTAATTTTTAATAATAATAATAATATATTGTTGTTATTATTATTATTATTATTATTATTATTATTATTGTTGTTGTTGTTGTTGTTAGAGTTGTTGTTGTTGTTGTTAGACATTCAAGTTAGCAAAATATAACGATATAGCATTTCAGTCACCTTTAACTTGGAGTTCACCTACAATAACAAGTCAAAATGGGTTAATTGTACTTATATATATATATATATATATATATATATATATATATATATATATATATATATATATATATATATAGAAGAGCGCTCATATGCGGCGGGGTCTTACCGTGCGGCGGTGCGGTCAAATTCCAGAATACACCAACAGTGCTAACAATATGCACCAACAGTGTAATAAAAACACACCACAATGAAATGCAATAAAACATCACAAAATACACAACAGACTCAAAAAAATACACTATATAACTCACCACCCCCAATGGTGTATTTCCGAACAGTGTATGGTGTTTTTACTCACACCTAATGGTGTGTGTTTGGTGATGCAGGACTCTGTTTTGTGTGGTGTATTTTTCTAACGTTGATGGTGCATATTTGTTGAACTATTGGTGTTGCCGCACCGTAAGAAATAACCGCACCGTAAGACACTGCCGCACCTGAACCCGCCTATATATATATATATATATATATATATATATATATATATATATATATATATAAGTTCATGTATTTAATTGGAGTTTTTTTTTTCTTCTATTTAATAGCTTAATTGCACTTTCTTAAATAATTCAAGGGCTTATTTGAACCTTATTACAAAAAATTATTTGAACCAAACTTTTGTACCAATAATTCACGACAACAATTATAATTTTTCATTTTTATTAAAATATTTATGAAATTTTTTTTTTTGAAACAACAAACTTCATTAATGATTTAACAACTCAGAAATACATGCAGGAGGGATCACATACCACGATCCCAGAACATACATAGAATTAGTTTTCTGAGCGAGTGCATGAGCCACTACATTCGCTGACCTCTTTACATGGTGAACATAAATGTTCCCCAAGCCTCTAGCAATTAATGAATTTTTTGAAACAAAATATTTATGAATTAATTGACTGTATTGTCAATTAATCATAAAAGTCACTGTCACATGGTACAAAATTGAAGATAAATTAATCTATAAAACATTACCTTGTACAAATAGTATTTTTAAAAATTATTTAAATAAAGGAAGGCAGGAGTACTTTTGTTTCAAAACATAAAAAATAAAAATAAAACTTTAGGGTGAACCAGAAAAAAGCAACAATTTGTATTAAACTTTTGTCTGTTTTCCCTGTCCTTTAAAAAAAATTAAAATAGTAATTTAAGATTCTTGATAAAAGTAAATTTTTATTGGTAAAAACCTGCAAAAGAGGAGAAGTGATAAGGTTAAGTGTGTGCTGCTAATCATTCTGCCCACCAACCTTATTCAAGCAAAAGTCTACATTTGTTGTTGTTACCTCAAAATCAAGTCTGGTTTAGGCTGTGATTCCAATTCCTAAGGCTTGTACAACTGTCCCCACCAATAAAGTTTTTTTTTTTTAAAAAAAAAAAATAAAATTAATTGTTATTTATTTATTTTTGTGAAAAGAACCCCACCAATAATGTTTGGCATTAGGAAAATATCATGTTGTATAAAATATTAAATTATGTTGAGAATTTTTCTTGTGATGTTGAAATCTTTCTACCTCTGATTGCGGCAATGTATGAGCTGTAGCCTATTGTATATTTGTATTAAACATCATATTTTAATTGAGAAAAACAAATATTTTACGAGAAATGTCTGTGTATTATTTGTTGAGAATGAAATTTTAGTGTTATTATATTTTTATAGAATCATCAAATGTAGGTACGATGTTAGGCTTTGGGCTTATATATATGTAGAATTGTCATACGAGGAGTTGTCACCGAATCGGGTTCAATTGAGATTCAACTGGATTAGTCTCATCACGAGATATAAATATTAGTGCATATGATTAAAAAATCATTTAAAGAAATTTAATATTTATCACTTTCATTATTACAAGAACTTTTATGTTATTTTTTTTAAAAAAATACATTGTTTTATAGGAAAAAGTGTCAAATTGGTACCATAAGTCCAACGAATAGTATAATAGAGTCACCTATCTAAAAAAAAAGTTTAAACAAGATCCCCTTAATCGGTAAAATAATACAATTATGCCCTAAGTTTACCTAATCTACAAGTTACCATTGTTGCGGTTGCCTTCAGAGGACCCTTTATCTCATATTTGTTTACAGACAATCCTACTGATTGTCCGTCAACAGAAGAAGACCAGTTAATTTTTTTTTAAAATCAAAAATAAAAACAATAAATTATAGAAGGTGGTTACTTAAAATAAATTAATTAGTTAATATTTAAAAAAAAAAAACAGTACACTCAACATCCAATTAAACTTAGAATGTCATGTGTTAGTCTAATCAACACCATATCAATAGTAACCGGCAGTATAGGCAAAATTTTGGCTTAATTAATTGCACTATTTTACTAGTTTAGAAAATCTGGTTAAAACTTTAAAAAAAATAAAAATTAAGAAACTCAATTATACTATTCATTAAACTTCGAGAGCCAACTTTAAACTTTTTCCTATTTTATATTTATATACTTAGGTTACACAACTTGTTTAGTTATGGGTACTAGAAAAGATGTAATATACCTGCTAGCTGGCTATTAGATAAGCATAGGATTCATACTTGCAGACAGGGTAGAATACTAGAATTTGTGCCACTTTAATAACTTTTGGCTTAATTAATTCATTTAATGTTCTTTACTCCATTAATTTGTTAGCATAGTCCTAGAATAACTTAGGGTGACGACATACTTACGAGAATCTCTCTCTCTCAAAAAAAAAAAAAAAAAAAAAAAGACACAAGAAAATTATAATACATAAAGTTATTAATATAGATGTGACAAAACTAAGCAACCAAAGTAATCATCCAATGAGTTATATGTTCAAAATAAAGGGTAATAATTTGGTTTGGGATTACACTTTATAACTAATTACTTGATTAATTATTCTATTAAAACTATTCTTAATTTGACAGTTAACAAGTTGCACTTATTTCAAATAGGATTTATATATATTGTTTAAGATATTTTTATCATTTTTAAAATGAGTAATGCTATCTAATTCTCTTATATTTTTCATCCAATCTACCCTCATAACATTACATTTTCTTCATAGACTTTTCAGTATTTAATTATATACAATTTCTTTTAATCAATGGTGAGGTTTAACCAATTTATAGACAATCAATGAATAAAAGCCACATAGGAAGAAAATTCAAAAAAAGAAAAAAAAATCTTTTAAAATAAATAAAATAATAATACTTCAACTCTGAGTCTTTAACTATTTTTTTTTTAATTTCAATTCAATCTCTCTCTCTCTCTCTCTCTCTCACACACACACACACACACACACACACACACACACACAGATATATATA